CCGGGCGGGGCGAGGGGGTGAGGATGCGCGGCTACTCACTGGCTCGGCCGCCGCGATCGGGGCGGACTCCGCAGAGTTGCAGCCGGAGACACGCTTGGCTGCCCGGAGCCTCTGCGGGAGGCGCGGGAAGGGCCCCGGCGCCCCGCCGCAGACCTCGGCCTGGGGGCGGGCGGGAGGGGGGGGGTGACCTCTTCTCACCACTCTCCACCTTGAGCACCCTCTCCTCTTGTCACTTCATTTTTGTTTTACTCCAGTCCTCTTCCCGTGCCTGCCGAGCCCCGAACCCACGGCCCCACCGCACTCTGAGGAAGCCAGTGCCAGCCATGCGTCTTTTGTTCTGGGACCGCTCCGTCGCCTGCGGTCACCCCCATCCGGGACGCCAGCTCCCCGGGCGCTGCTTTGGTTCCCTTCCCCAACTACCTGCAGCCCGACTGGGGCTCCCGGCCCGGAGAGACTGGGGAGGGGGGCCGGAGAGAGGCGCCTGGCCCCGGAGGAAAAGAGTTGCCAAGGCCGGGCAGCCCGGGAAGGCTGTGGCCCATCACCGGCAGGTGCAAAGAGGCCCCACGTGGCCAGAAAGAGGCTAAAGCTGGTGCATCGCTGCCCCGGCCACCACCCCGCCCGCTGCCCCTGCTGGAAACCCTACAGGGGTTTGTGGTGGAAGCTGCATCTCCAGAAAAACCACATCGTCCCGAGGTGCCCTTGGATGGCCAAGTATCAAGATGAGCGATGCTTACTAATTCCCTGGGTGCCTTGTACAGTATAGATGTTCAGGAAATACTTAGACAGGAAGCTCTTTAGGTCCATAGCCTAGCTTACGGATTTTTAAAATTCATTGTTCATTTTACATATTAATAGAGCGATCCCTTGTTTGCCCTCTATGTATGTACATGCATATGTTCATTGTGTTTATATACATGTGCATATGTGTGTATATATGCATATAGATGTACGTATATGTATTATGCCAAACCTGTCCTACTTACTAGGTGCTGGCTACATAGCACAGAAGATAGACAGGGACCTTTCCTCCTGGGATGACCTCAGGTTTGCTATATTGTTGCCTTTACCTATGGAAGAGAAAGCAAACCAAGCTGGATAGCTGTAGTTAAAATAATTAATTAATTCATTCATTAATTAAACCCTCCTCTCTGAATTGCATGAACTCACAGGTACCTTCAGGCCTCTGGGGAGCCCTAGATCAGCAAAGTCTTTTTCATCACCAATCCCCCTCTAGCACACCCATGGAGATCTTCTGTGGTGTGTGGGAAATGATGGGAAAGTGCTTTGTCACTTACTCCACAGGCAGCCCAGGCTTGAGCCCTGAGTTCTCTGTAGATGCTATTCAAGCAAAACTGGTACCCATGGCATTGGTTCTGCTCTTACTGCTCAGAGCTTTGGAAGGGGTCCCCGGGTTCATCCGAGCTACTTTCTTGGGACTCCGTTTCCCTGTTTTATGTCTTTTGGTCTAGAAGAAGACTATAGGTTAGACACAGAAATGAGAGAAACAGAATTTCTGCTTCTCCCGTCTGTGTACCCCCAGGGACTTGAGTATGTATGGAAAGTCAGTTCCCAAGCCCAAGGACAGTGCTTGTGAGAAGCATTTTCAAGCCCTACCCTGCCTTCTCTAAAACTGCTCACCAGAACTGGGCTTCGGTCCAGTGACTGCGATGAAACATTCTTACCCCTGTCAATCAGAGCTGTGTCAGCAGGGAAAGACACTTTCTCTCCTGGCCCTCCTAGGTAGAGTAGGCAAAGACAGAGCTTATTGAATACCCCTTCACCTTATTTCTCCTCCACCCATCTTCCTACATCTCCTTGAAGAAACTCCCACTGACCTCCTTTTACTGATAAGAACTTGGCTCAGGAGGATAATAATAATAATATAAAAAAAACACTTCCAAAGTTGCAACATGGAGATTCAAACCCAAGTTTGCCTGACCACCAAGCCCACACTTCGTGAGCTCATCTGGTCCCTAGATGAGTGACTCTGACCATGAACTTGCTAAATGGGTCCTTTGAGGGGCAATAACAGGCCAAGTATTATAGTATCCAAGACTCCAGCCTCCTCTCCTCTTTTGCAAAGTAAACTGGGCCATCTTTGCATTTGGGGGTTAGCATAAGGTCCTTGGCTCCCTATCCAAGGCAAATTTCAAAGGCACAAAATGCAGTTTTAGGGTGCATGGTTATTCAGGCAATTAACAAGCATGGACTGAGCAGTGTTCATGTGCCAGAAACGTTTCGGGTCCTCTTTAGAAATTATTTTGGCCTCTGGCTAATAAAAGACCTTACCTAGAATGTCATCAATGAGGCAGCTGAGGAGGGATGCTGGGAGATGTGAGATGGATCCTGTTTGGCTGAGGAGTACTATAGTCTCCAGAACTACTCTCTGATTTAAAGAATTGTACAAGTCACTTGTCCCTGATACATCAAGAAATGTTTTACCTCTCCTTTTACTTTCCATTGGCCATCACCATTTTCTCGGGCTGGCTCTTACCTCCACTGTGACTATCCCTTCTCCTGGTGTGTTTAAAGACAAGTTTGTAAAGGGAGGAAACAAGATCCGCCAATAGTAAATAAGTAAATAAATCCCAACCTCTCCTCCAGCTTGCATGGATCAAACGCAGCTCCTCTGAACCTGCGGTAGGTGGGTGGGATGAACTTCACCGAGGGAAGGGGTGGAAGACCCCTCCCCCCAAAAAATAGAAATAAAAAACTTAACACATGAACCCTTGGCACTCCTATCATTTCCCCCTTTTCCACCACCCGGTGATCATTCATGGACTGATTCCACTTACCCAAAGCAGGAGGGAAGAAGTAACCCGTGCAGAGCAATAGCATCCAGAAAAATCGCCGCCCCAAGTGCTCCCCTCTCCCCCTGCGCCTCTCCAACTTCCATGGCTAAAGCTACGGGGCGGGTGAAGCGAGGTGGAAAGGGACCGCCTCGCGTTCCTGCCGCAGGAAAACAAAGCATCGTGGCGCAAAGTCTCCCGGTCCCCCCCCCCTTTCCCGCGGCTCCCCCACCCCGCCCCCCACGGCCAGGAGTGTCAGCCTGGCAGCATTGGATGGTGAAACGGAGGATGCTACCCGGCTGCCCGCTGCCCCGCTGCCTGCAGCCCGGGTCTCTGCAGCCCAGAACCTGCCCCCCCTCCACCCGCCACCCCCGCCACCCCAAGGAGCGCAGCAACGTTCTGCACCACTTACTCTTAGCGCGCCTCGTGGCCTGGCGTGGGAGGGCTGGGGAAGCCCCCGAGCCCCGCGGGTGCCTGGCGCTGAAGTTTGCCTTGCATTTGGCTCGCGCTTTGACTCCCTCGGTACACTGCAGCCCAACCAGCAGCAGTGAGACCCAACGGCGGGGGAGGGGGGTGCTCGCCACCTCGGGGGAGTCTCTCTGGGTGCGTGGCCAGGAGCAGCTTAGCCATTTGGGGAGTGGGGGGGTGCGCAGGAGAAATTTACGGGTTCAGAGAGTCCAGTCGCAGGGAGTCGCAGCTTGGGGAGATCCTGTTTATTCCTGGTTTGGCAAACAGAAGAACAGGGGGCCGGTCTCCTTGGAACCTGCTTTGAAATTCAGGAATCGCAGAATGAATTCGTCTATCTGCCTTGAACCGTTTCTCTTTGGTTTCGTCATTCTCCCTAAAGTCAAGTAGAAGTTCTAGCCCGCCAGATTCCTCCCAGTCCTCTTTTTTAAAAAAGAACTGCAATCAGGTTTCCTTATCTTTTTGTTACACACACACACACACACACACACACACTATGCTTTCCCACTGATTAAGGAAAGTGATGGGGTTATACATTATCCTTAGCTTAAACCTCTTCCACTGCCCTGCATTGTTTCTGCATTGTTCTCAGCATTTCATCACTCCTACATTCGTCTTCATGTCCCAACCAGCATCTGCAAAAACCTAACCTTAAGTATATGTTGCCCTAATCTTGGGCTCGGCTTTGGCTTGGAAAAGCCAGCCACCGCAGCAGCAAAAGGATAGGGGAAATAAGGGGAAAACTGGGGGTGGGGAGTGTAGGGAACGGAGCTAGTTGCTCAGTAACAAACGCTATGCATAAATCCTGCAGATTTATTTTAATGATTCAAATCTCTGATTGGAGATTCATGAGGATAACATACTATAAA